CTACAGAAAGACATCGGAGAGACAAGAGAGAGAGACTAGATAAAGACACTAGGGAGACTAGAGGGAGACTAGAGAGAGACTAGAGAGAGACCAGAGAGAGAGACTAGAGAAAGACACCAGAGAGGCGACTAGAGAAAGAGACTAGAGGTAGAGACCAGAGAGAGAGAGACCAGAGAGAACGAGGCCTGTCACCAGAGGAACAGAGATGAGAGAGAGAGAGGTCTGGACCATCTCAGATCACAGATACAGACTGAAAGAGACTGCATACGTGCCAACATGTAATCTGCATTTTTATATTCATTTAGTATTCTGGCATGTGGTGGTTATCGGGCCAAAGACATGAAATGAAATTGAAAAAAAACCTTGCGCTTGCGTTTGAGTCTAGCCACAGATGGTCTCACCCTGGAGTCAAAACAGCTCTGAACGCGATCTTACATTAACATAATACAATAATAATGGTTTTGAATTCATTTGAAACAAAAAACAAGACTTTTTCAAACATAAAAGTCAAAACACAGTTGCTACATTGATGTCGGAAGGTGGCGCCGTGGCAGGGACTTCCTTAAATAAAACCAGAGAGAGAGAGACCAGAGCGAGGCCAAAAATAAATACCAGAGAGAGACCAGAGAGAGACCAGAGAGGTAGAAGAGGGAGACCTGAAAGAGACTAGAGAGAGAAAAGAAATGAATTCCAGAGAGAGAGACCAGAGCAATACCAGAGAAAAAGACCATAGAAAAAGACCAGAGAGAGACCAGAGAGAGACTTGAGGAAGACCAGAGAGAGACTAAAGAGAGACCAGAGATAGATTCCAGAGAGAGACCAGAGAGTGACCACAGAGAGACTAGAGGGAGACCCGAGAGAGAATAGAAATAGATTCCAAAGAGAGACCAGAAAGAGATCAGAGCAATAGACCAGAGCCAGCGACCAGAGAGAATTTCCAGAGAGAGACCAGAGAGCGACCAGACAGGAGCAGGGCTACAGGAAGACCACAATAGTCCTCTGAATCAAGACTAGTTCAAACAAGAGACCACTGTAATCCTAAAAACAAAGCAGTGGATCAACTTTTTATTACTTAAAATCTGTTCTTTCCCTTTTTTTGCTCGAACACACGGAAAAAAACTGAGAATCTGCTGTTTCATTAATGTCACCGTTATCTGCACAAACAACCCCATCTGACAGAGTTAGCCACCAAACTCAGATTTCAGCCTTTTTCATATCGTTCACATTTGCCGAGCTGCACCAGGACTCTGTGTGGGTTTGACATTTGGAACAACCATTTATTTTGGATTCAGATTTGCACTGATAAATGTCATGAAAGAGAGTCCATACACATCTCTGCCCGTAGGAAGAAAGACTTCTTTGCTAACTGTTGTACTGTATGTGGAAAAGCCATTGACTAATAGCTGAGTGTTGGAGTATGGTGGGAAAAAAACACTTTATCCACTTTTCCACCCATCTGAAGTGAGAGAGACCAGACAGAGAGTGACCGGAGAGAGTCCAGAGAGAGGGAGAGACCAGAGAGTGACCACAAAAGAGAGAGAACAGAGAGTCCAGAGAAAGACCAGAGAGTGATCACAGGGAGAGAGAGAGACCAGAGTGACCACAGAGAGAGAGAGAGACCAGCGATAGTCCAGAGAGAGACCACAGAGAGAGAGAGACCAGAAAGACGAGAGAGAGACTTGAGAGAGACCAGAGAGAGAGAGAGACCAGAGAGTGACCACAGAGAGAAAGAGACCAGCGATAGTTCAGAGAGAGAGAGAACAGAGCGCGAGACCAGAGAGAGACCACAGAGAAAGAGAGACCAGAGAGAGTCCGGAGAGAGACCAGAAAGAGGTACGAGAGGGAGACCAGAGAGACTAGGAAGAGACTTGAGAGAGACCAGAGCAAGAGACCAGAGAGACACCACAGAGAAACAGGTACTAGAGGGAGACCAGAGAGACCAGATAAAGACTTGAGAGAGACCAATGAGAGAAACTAGAGAGAGACCAGAGAGAGAGAGAGAAGATAGAGACCAGAGCGAGACCAGACGGAAAGACCAGAGAGAGACTAGAGAGGAGCAGGATCGAGGGCTACAGGAAGATCATCTCTCTCTTTGGCCTCCTCTTCAAAGCTGCTAACGTCTTCTCGCTCGGCGCGTCCTGATTGACATGTGCTATGCTAACGGTTGCCCCCGCCGACGCAGCGGGTGTCACCACAACAGCGCGGGTCTAATAATCACCGCTAATAGGTCTCTGTAATTGGAAATAGCAACTTCATTAGTGAGTGACAGGAGCAGGTGATAAGACGGGGGAATTCGCCGAAACCACTGATGCTAGCGGAGTCATTATCTGCTAGCGCTGCTCTGTAATTGCGCTCTTGACAATCTTCACAGCACTTTTGAATTCCGAGTTGTTTTTTTACCCCTCTTTTTAAGCCGTTTTCCGGGTGTTGGAGTTATCTCGGAGAGGTGGGCGGCCTTCGGAAGAGAGGGGATTCTGTAATGAGAGTCGCGTTTGAAGCAGCTAGCCGCGCAGAGCTTTAGCCGCGCCGTAAGATTTGTTTGATTTTTTCCCTTTTCCTTTCAAATATGGCCGATGTTGCTAGCAGATGCTTTTCATCAGTTGAGTGTTAGCGGTTTTTTCCCCTTTGTAGAGAGAGAGTAGGGTTTGCCATATTTAGTTTAAATCAATGTGTTTTCTGGCGGGACTTTATAAAGTTGTGGATTCGCAATCCCAGAACTTAAGACGAATGGAAAGCTTTACCATCAGAGAGAGACCAGAGAGAGAGAGAGCAGAAAAGGATCGAGAATAGACCAGAGTGAGAGACTAGAGAGAGACCAGAGAGTGACAAGAGGGAGACCAGAAAGAGACCAAACAGAGACTAAGAAGAGACCAGAGCGAGAGGACTAGAGACCAGAGTGACAGAGAGAGACCAGAAAGAGATCAAGAAGAGACCAGAGTGAGAGACTAGAGAAAGACTAGACAGTGACAGAGACCAGAAAGAGACCAAACAGAGACCAAGAAAAGAACAGAGTGAGAGGACTAGAGACCAGAGGGGGACCAGAAAGAGACCAAGAAGAGACCAGAGTGAGAGGACTAGAGACCAGAGTGACAGAGAGAGACCAGAAAGAGACCAAACAGAGATCAAGAGACCAGAGTGAGAGACCAGAAAGAGACCAAACAGAGACCAAGAAAAGAACAGAGTGAGAGGACTAGAGACCAGAGGGGGACCAGAAAGAGACCAAGAAGAGACCAGAGTGAGAGGACTAGAGACCAGAGTGACAGAGCGAGACCAGAAAGAGACCAAACAGAGATCAAGAAGAGACCAGAGTGAGAGGACTAGAGACCAGAGTGACAGAGAGAGACCAGAAAGAGACCAGAGTGAGAGATCAGAAAGAGACCAAACAGAGGCCAAGAAAGAGACCAGAGTGAGAGAACAGAAAGAGACCAGAGTGAGAGACCAGAAAGAGGATTAAATTGTTGTGGATGTTAAAGGGGCAACACACATCACTGAGAACTGGGGGATGGAGACTTTTTCTTTAAATTTCTCTCTATAGTTGATAAATATATTTCGTATAGTTCACAGTTTGAATATAGAAAAGTTCACATCGTTTTGTATAATTATTTCTGCAAGTTTTCAGTTTCTTTTGTTGCTCTCTCCTTCTTATTCCTTCACAATTTCTTTCCCACTACTTCCCACTAAATATATTGACTCCAAACACGTCCGAACGGAGAAGAAAGAATCAAGAACATAACTCACAATCACTCACTCTCATTCCTTCCAACGTCCTCAAAACCCCTCTTTACTTTTTGACCCTTTTCTCTGAACGAGGGAGGGGGGGGGCTCGGATACCTGTCAGACGTGGGCAGCGAGAAAGAAAAATAGAAAAAAAGTCTCTCCGACTCAAGTGGCCGTATAGAAGAGTCTTTGTCTGAGAGCACCGGACGCGGCAGGACGCTGGTAACGTAGCGGCGAGTGGAGGCAGATCACTGTGATTGAGAAAGATTGCTGTAATTTCGTCCACTTTTGGCCCAAGAGACTCAGGCATTATAGACTATAGAAGAGAGAGAGAGAGAGAGAGAGAGAGAGAGACAGAGAGCGAGAGAGAGAGAGAGAGAGAGAGAGAGGAGGTTTTTGCTGTGAGAAACCCAGTGGGGTAAGTGTATGTGTGGTGTATTAAAGAACAAATGTGATACTTTATGGATGCCTGTAGGAGAAAAGGCAGGTGTCCGGGAGCAGCAAAAACACATCCATCCATACAGACAAAACAAAGAAATTGATCGTTTTAAAGATAAGAAACGGCACTTCAAAAGTAAATTTTTGGATTTTCATTTTGTGGCTAAAACGTGAGGAAATGTACTGTATCTCTCGGCGCAAAATCCAAAATGAATAATCAGATTACTTTCAAAAGAGCCGAGATGTAAGCAACATGGACCGCAGAACCGTAGACTGTATATAGATGGACAATGCTAACATGCTAAGTTCTGAAGCTCTCTGGGGAAGTGCTCATGGATGAAGTTTTGCTCCGACTCTCTATAAACTCTCTCTCTCTCACCCTTCTCTCTCACTAACTGCCTCCATGAAATAAAGTCCTGGTTCAAAGCAAACCTCCTCAAAACTCTTTGCTCTGTCTAGTCTCTTTCTCTCTCTCTCTATTTGCTCTCTCTGCTCTCTATTTCTGCTCTCTCTAGTCTCTCTCTGCTCTCTCTCTGCTCTCTCTCCCTGCTCTCTCTAGTCCCTCTCTCTGCTCTTTCTCTCAGCTCTCTCTAGTCTCTCTCTGCTCTCTCTCTCAGCTCTCTCTAGTCTCTCTCTGCTCTCTCTCTCTCTCTCGGCTCTCTCTAGTCTCTGCTCTCTCTCTCTCTCTCTCTCTGCTCTCTTCTAGTCTCTCTCTCGGCTCGTTCTAGTCCCTCTCTCTGCTCTCTCTCTGTCTCTGCTCTCTCTAGTCTCTCTCTTCCAAAAACAGACTAAATCTTGTTAAAAACCCATCACTTAAACCTAATCTCTCAGTCCACTCTTAACTCTCACTCTGACAGAAGGGGCGGCCCCTTCTTCTTCTTCTTCTTCTTCTTCTTCTTCTTCTTCTTCTTCTTCTTCTTCTTCTTCTTCTTCTTCTTCTTCTTCTTCTTCTTCTTCTTCTTCTTCTTCTTCTTCTTCTTCTTCTTCTTCTTCTTCTTCTTCTTCAGACCTAACTGTTCGTACTCTGCCTGAAATAGATTTGCAGAAAGTACGCAGTGGACCCGGGCCGTGATGTGAAATTGCTGTTTTGAAAATCTTGAATGTCAGACGCAGTTTAATCTGACGAGGGACACTGCGTAACGTGACGTGCGACAGAATAAACAAATTAGGATTGAGCGGGAATATGATATTGTGTTTTTTCGATCTATGAGAGAGCGGAGGCGATTTACTGCCGCTTCTGTTCCGGGGGGTTTTGTGAGTGGGTGAGGACGACGATGGGTAGTTTAAACAACTACTAATATATATTTATATATGTACTGTGTATCTGTTGTGAAATCTCTTACAAACTGATGCAGTAGTTCTAGTGAAGTCTCTCTCTGGTCTCTCTCTCTAGTCTCCCTCTGCTCTCTCTCTCCAGTCTCCCTCTGCTCTCTCTCTCCAGTCTCCCTCTGCTCTCTCTCTCTCCAGTCTCCCTCTGCTCTCTCTCTCCAGCCTCTATCTGCTCTCTCTCTCTGTAGTCTCCCTCTGCTCTCTCTCTCTCCAGTCTCCCTCTGCTCTCTCTCTCCAATCTACCCCTGCTCTCTCTCTCCAATCTACCCCTGCTCTCTCTCTCCAGCCTCTCTCTGCTCTCTCTGTAGTTTCCCTCTCCTCTCTCTCTCCAGTCTCTCTCTGCTCTCTCTGTAGTTTCACTCTGCTCTCTCTCTCCAGTCTCCCTCTGCTCTCTCTGTAGTTTCACTCTGCTCTCTCTCTCCAGTCTCCCTCTGCTCTCTCTCTCTAGTTTCTCTCTGCTCTCTCTCTCCAGTCTCCCTCTGCTCTCTCTCTCCAGTCTCCCTCTGCTCTCTCTCTCCAGCCTCCCTCTGCTCTCTCTCTCCAGTCTCCCTCTACTCTCTCTCTCTAGTCTCCCTCTGCTCTCTCTCTCTAGTTTCCCTCTGCTCTCTCTCTCCAGTCTCCCTCTGCTCTCTCTCTCCAGCCTCCCTCTGCTCTCTCCAGTCTCCCTCTGCTCTCTCCCTCCAGTCTCCCTCTGCTCTATCTCTCCAGTCTGCCTCTCCTCTCTCTCTCTAGTCTCCCTCTGCTCTCTATCTCCAGTCTGCCTCTGCTCTCTCTCTCTCTAGTCTCCCTCTGCTCTCTCCCTCCGATCTTTCTCTCCAGTCTCTCTCTCTCTCCCTCTCTCTCTCTCTCGATCTTTCCCCATTCCCAACAAACTAAATCTTGTTAAAAACCTGTCGCCTGAACTTAAACTCGACTCTCTCTCCTCACTTACCTCGGTATGAATCACCGCCGCACCTCTGAGTCTCGCTCCTCAGGATGAGTCACCGTTGCCACACCGGCCAGACACATGACAAAAGTAACTTGGAAGTAACCGCAGCGCCGCGCAGGTTCTGAGAGGCGAGCGGCGAGCAGGAGGCCCCCATCACTTTTCATTACGGTGAGCGCGAAGAGACTTAAGTGAATGGTTTCTCGGTGTTTGCTGGAAAAACTCTGCATTACTTTAAAACGCCAGAGTATCGCGTGTCGGGAAGGACCTCATTTCACTGGAAAATAAAAGAACTGTGAGTTTTTTAAAGGAGTTTGAAGACGCCATGAAACTCTACCTTTAACTGTATCAGGAAGGATGTAACAGAGACTTATTTGATTTAGAGAATATTGACTCTTAATGTTAGCATTAAGGTGGAAGAGGCCAGTTTGAACATAAGCTAGACTCTGTCTCTCTGTGGTCTACCTTTGGTCTCTCTCTTGTCTCCCTCTGGTCTTTCCCTCGTCTCCCTCTTGTCTCCCTCTTGTCTCCCTCTTGTCTCTCTCTGGTCTACCTTTGGTCTCTCTCCTATCACTTTCTGGTCTTTCCCTGGTCTTTATCTTGTCTCTCTCTGTCTCTCTCTCTGTCTCTCTGGAAAAACTGGTTAACGTCCTTGCTTCTCATTCCACCTGTAGACAGGGCAACTGAGTTTGCATGTTCTCCCATTGTCTGCATATACATTTCCTCCGGGTGCTCCGGTTCCCCCGACCACATAAAAGTTATTACAATACACCAGCTCTCCTCTCTCTACCGCTTGGACTCTGTGGGACTTGGTCAGATTGTGGTCAATAACCATTCAAACTTTCCGTACTTTTGACTTGTTTGCACCGAGAGCCAAAGACATTTCCTACTGTGTAACTTCCAATAGAAATGATTATGATTCTGAAACTAAAGTCCCCGATTTCTTCCAGAAGTTCTTGATGCTAAAACAATTCTATATACTTTCATTAAGGAGGAAACATCATTGCAACATGGTTAAAAACTCAACTTTTGCTTGAGGAGTTTACATTTCAATGTAAGTCAAGCAGATCAGTTTTTTGCATTTTATACTGCGTTTCTGTGTTTCTATGTATCCCCACTGGTGCTCTGCCTGCAAAAGTTGCTTATGAATGAATAAAGTTATTTGAATTGAATGGAATAGGAGCCAGAGCAAGTTGGAGCAAATCATATTCCCTCATATGAGAACTTTTGGCCTTCATCAAGCTAGCGTTAGCATTGTCCATCTCCATACAGTCTTTCTTCCCATAGACTGAGAACAAAAAAACTTGATAATCCTTATCAGCCATATTAGCGTCTGAACAAGGTTAGGAACTGAACTTTTTATACCGCACGTCTCCTTTAAATGCACATCTATCTTTCTGTCTCATTACTCGGTGCGAATGCTACACGTATATAATATTCTCTGACCCTTCAAATCTCTGAGTGGGCTGCGGCGCCGAGAGAGCTGGCTGTTTCCTAATTACCCTGTCATTGGAGGCAGTGGGCGGACGTCGGAGGTTGAGTATGAAGCCTACGGACCTTGTCACATGTGCAGAAAACTCGTCCTGATTCAAAATGGCAAAAACCGTGGTCATTTGAAACGTGGGCAGGAGGTGGAGATGTGTGAAGGCTGGAGAATAGACTTGTGTTAGCTTGTATAACTAGCTTAATGGATCCGCTCTATGTAGCGACGTTAGCGACAATATAAAAGCTATTGAATTATTGCCTCTGGTTTTAATTTCTTTATCTGTGATGTACAAGTGAAGGATGGTTACTTTAACAATTGTGAAGATGGAGAGACAATTAGACCCGCCCCCACAGCTTCTTGATTGGACGCAGTGAATTTGAATTTGTGATAGACGCATGAGGCCCCTCCCCACTGGTCGAACTAGCCTCCAGCGAATCTTACTGGTGATTCTTCCAAGATAAGAGACTGTTTTAAATATATGTATTATGAACAAAATAGATAAGACACAGGGTCACCAGTTCACAAAGACGTAGTAATTTCAAGGGGATTAAGAGAAAATTGAAGTTTCAGACACCAGCTTTAATGGAAATTGAAAAAATGAAAAATTTTGGGTAAAAAAACAACTTATTTAACCTGTGAATAGAAGAATTATTTGTTGATCCCCTGTAGAAGAAATTCAGGTGTTTCTGAAAACACATCAATATAAACATATAATAGGCACACACACACACACACACACATACGCAGATACACGCATAACGTTCCCTCTGTATCAGCTCATTCCAGCACCACGGACAGCTCCCAAATGCTTCTGCTCTGGTTTCACACAAGCATAATCAGCAGTAGTAATAACAGCAGTAGCAGCGACAGTAGCAGCAGCAGCAGCACTAGTAATAGCAATAGTAACAGTAGTAAATGTAGAAGCAGCAGTAGCAGCAGCAGTAGTAGCAGCAGTAGCAGTAGCAGCAGTAGTAGCAGTAGCAGCAGTAGCAGCAGCAGTAGTAGCAGTAGTAGCAGTAGTAGATGTAGTAACAGCAGTAGTAACATCAGTAGTAACAGCAGCAGTAGTAGCAGTAGTAGCAGTAGCAGCAGCAGTAGCCGCAGTAGTAGCAGTAGTAGCAGTAGTAGAGGTAGTAACAGCAGTAGTAACATCAGTAGTAACAGCAGCAGTAGTAGCAGTAGTAGCAGTAGCAGCAGCAGTAGCCGCAGTAGTAGCAGTAGTAGCAGTAGTAGAGGTAGTAACAGCAGTAGTAACAGCAGCAGTAGTAGTAGCAGCATTAGCAGTAGCAGTAGTGGCAGAAGCAGCAGCAGCAGAAGCAGTAGCCGCAGTAGTTTGCCTGGCCTGCCAAACGATATGCTTTTTCAAAGACATATAGTCTGGGAACGAGCTTGATCTCAGCGAATTCCCGGTGGGCGTGGTTGACAGACTGCATCAACCAATTAGATGCACACAGGATATGACGCAGCAACTAGCGGCACCCAAGCCGTTTCAGTAAACACAAAACAAGGGATGGCGGCATGTCAGCTAGTGCAAATGTAAACGACTGCTGTCGATTTTGTAACAAAAACTTAAAGATACGAGGAGTTATTAGCAACTCAAAGGTGAAAGGAAGTCCCGCCTCTCGGTGCGTGATTGGACCGATGTGGGTAAAATCGTGAAATGATAGGCTAGGAAGAGGTGTCCAGACGGTTCTTCTTTTGAACAGAAAGGAGGAGTGTCTGGCAGGCCAGGCAACGCAGTAGTAGCAGTAGTAGCAGTAGTAGAGGTAGTAACAGCAGTAGTAACAGCAGTAGTAACAGCAGCAGTAGTAGTAGCAGCATTAGCAGTAGCAGTAGTGGCAGAAGCAGCAGCAGCAGAAGCAGTAGCCGCAGTAGTAGCAGTAGTAGCAGTAGTAGAGGTAGTAACAGCAGCAGAAGCAGCAGCAGCAGAAGCAGTAGCAGTAGTAGTAGCAGCAGCAGTAGCGGCAGCAGTAGCAGCAGCAGTAGCGGCAGCAGTAGCAGCATTAGCAGCAGTAGAAGCAGCAGTTCTTCCCCATCATTATTTCTGTGTCTGTTCTGTCTCTGGAGGAGAGAGGAGGTAAAGGTCACATCTTGGATAATTTTCTTTTAGCTGCTTTGAAATGGCTGGAAATGTGATTTTACCATCTACAGTTACTTCCATCTGTCCTCTGTTATTGTATGTGTGTGTGTGTGCGTGTGCGTGTGCGTGTGTGCGTGTGCGTGTGCGTGTGCGTGTGCGCGTGTGCGTGTGCGTGTGCGTGTGCGTGTGTGTGTGTGTGTGTGTGTGCGTGTGTGTGTGTGTGTGTGTGTGTGTGTGTCTGTGTGTGTGTGTGTGTGTGTGTGTGCGTGAGTATTTGTGCGTGTGTATTGTATAAAGGGCCTGTCACAATATATTGCTTTACTGAGAATTACAGTAATATTAAAGCTGGGATAAAACATTGAGCTCCTTCCTTTGTCCTATTCTGGTTTCAACATCCTGGTATTGTAATAATACGTCTCTCTGGTCTCTCTCTGGTCTCTTTGGTCTCTCTTGTCTCTCTCTGGTCTCTCTCTGGTCTCTTTGGTCTCTCTTGTCTCTCTCTGGTCTCTTTGGTCTCTCTGGTCTCTCTCTGGACTCTCTCTGGACTCTTTGGTCTCTCTGGTCTCTCTCTCTGGTCCCTTTTTGGTCTCTTTGGTCTCTCTGGTCTCTCTCTGGTCTCTTTCTGGTCTCTCTCTGGTCTCACACTTGTCTAATATTATTTATTGTTGTTACAATTCAACGGCTCTCAGACACATCATGAACAGCAGAAATTCTAGAATTTTTCTCCTTCCTTCTTTTTTGGTTTGCCTTTTTCTCCATGAGGTCAGCGTTCACCTTCTCTCCGTCTCTCTCCATCCCTTCTCTCCCTCCGCTTCCCTCCACACATTTATTTATTTACTTTTCTGCCATTATCACAAAAGGCCATTGTGATTTCTCCGCACAACACCGACCGCCCGACGCCGCAACGACTTGTTTGCTATTATCATCGCTGCATTTAATTGTGTAGCGCGTGGCCTCAGGAGCTGGGAGCGAGCCTCGTCTTTTCAAATCTTTTTTTTTTTTTTTTTCGTGGCGAGAGTTTGTGTTTGGCTCGAAAACAGCGATGGTACCCAGAAGGCCTTTATGCTGACATTCTACATGAGAGAGAGAGAGAGAGACACATAACTTTCCCTCTGTATTAGATCATTCCAGCACCACGGACAGCTCCCAAATGCTTCTTCTCTGGTTTCACACATGCACAATCAACAGTAGTAATAACAGCAGTAGCAGCAGCAGCAGCAGCAGCAGCAGTAGCAGTAGCAGCAGTAGTAGCAGTAGTAGCGGTAGAAACAGCAGTAGTGACAGCAGCAGTAACAGCAGTAGCAGTAGTAGAAGTAGCTAGTAGAGAGAGAGAGAGAGAGAGCTCGTTACGAACCACAAAAGAAACACAATTGGATGGTGTTGTCTCAGTCTGCCTTTTAGTCAGGCTGCTTCATCTGTTGGATTTCTTCAAATGTGATTAAACAACATGGGTTTTGGTCTTTGTGGGTGTGGTCACTGTGGGTGTGGTCTTTTTGGGCGTGGTCTATGTGAGTTTTGGTCTTTGTGGGTGTGGTCACTGTGGGTGTGGTCTCTGGGGGTGTGGTCTCTGTGGGTGTGGTCTCTGTGGGCAGACTAGAATCTGACTTTTGACAGTTCTCTCTCTGGTCTCTCTCTCTGGTCTTTTTCTGGACTCTCTTTTTTCTCTGGTCTCTCTAATCTCTCTATGGTCTTTCTCTGGTCTCTCTCTGTTTTCTCTGTGATCTCTCTCTGCTCTCTTTCTGGTCTCTCTCTGGTATCTCTCTAGTCTGTCTCTGGTCGCTCTCTCTGGTCTCACTTATATACTGGTGCACTTTGACGGAAATATTTTTTAATGGTACATTTTATGGTTTTATTGTAAATCAACAATTTAACTTTTGTACCTTTGCGATGGTTGCTGCTGCTGTGGCTATGGGTTGTACGCAAATAAAAATGAAAAGAACAGAACGAGCTGGAGGTGAGGGGATGGGAGGGGGTTGCCAGTTTGTGCTATACGTTCCTCATATTAGCGTGGGAGGAGCTAAAAATATCTGGCGTGTTGGCGAAGAGAGAGAAGTTGCAGCAGACTTAAGTAGGTCAAAAAATGTCTCCACTGTAAGTTATTCAATCAGAGAGAGACCAGAGAGAGAGAAAGCAGAGAGAGAGACCAGAGAGAGAAACCAGAGAGAGAGAGCAGAAAGAGACCAGAGAGAGCAGAGAGCAAGTCCAGAGAGAGAGACCAGAGAGAGACCAGAGAGTGAGACCAGAGAGTGAGACCAGAGAGTGAGACCAGAGAGAGACCAGAGAGAGAGACCAGAGAGTGAGACCAGAGAGTGAGACCAGAGAGTGAGACCAGAGAGTGAGACCAGAGAGTGAGACCAGAGAGTGAGACCAGAGAGTGAGACCAGAGAGTGAGACCAGAGAGCGAGACCAGAGAGCGAGACCAGAGAGCGAGACCAGAGAGCGAGACCAGAGAGCGAGACCAGAGAGCGAGACCAGAGAGCGAGACCAGAGAGCGAGACCAGAGAGCGAGACCAGAGAGCGAGACCAGAGAGCGAGACCAGAGAGCGAGACCAGAGAGCGAGACCAGAGAGCGAGACCAGAGAGCGAGACCAGAGAGAGACCAGAGACAAAGCAGAAAGAGAGACCAGAGAGAGACAGCAGAGAGAGAGACCCTAGAAAGACCAGAAAGAGAGAGACCAGAAAAAGACCAGGGATCGAGACCAGAGAGCGAGACCAGAGAGAGAGACCATGAATCCTCAGTGCAAAACCATGAACACTGTACTGCAAAAACATTGCCGGCAGAAAAAACCAAGAAAAATAGTGCATTCAAAAGTATCAGTGTCTCTTGCTCTTCCAGACGCTCTCCTGTGTGCTGCCCGCCTCACTCTCTGTGGATGGGGGGGTCAGGGGTACAGAAGCCGCTGGGTGCTGGCAGCGACACACAGGCTCCTCTTGGCTGCGCTCACATGGTGTCTCTGGGACGGGAAGCTAACACGGCAGCGGATTAGCCGGCAGAAGGCAAAGAACCGCTAACATGATGCAGCATGAAGAGCGAGGGAGAGAGCGAATCAGAAGGAAGGGTGTACGGATGATGTCACAGTTATGGACATTGGTAATGTGTTTGCTGAGGCTGTAGATCCAGGACTGAGGCTATAGATCCAGGACTGAGGCTGTAGATCCAGGTCTGAGGCTGTAGATCTAGGACTGAGGCTGTAGATCTAGGACTGAGGCTGTAGATCCAGGACTGAGACTGTAGACCCAGGACTGAGGCTGTAGATCCAGGACTGAGGCTGTAGATCCAGGTCTGAGGCTGTAGATCCAGGACTGAGGCTGTAGATCCAGGACTGAGGCTGTAGATCCAGGACTGAGGCTGTAGACCCAGGACTGAGGCTGTAGATCCAGGACTGAGGCTGTAGATCCAGGACTGAGGCTGTAGATCCAGGACTGAGGCTGTAGACCCAGGACTGAGGCTGTAGATCCAGGACTGAGGCTATAGATCCAGGACTACAGTATTCCCATTTCTAATTGTGTGGTATCTGGATCTTCCCAGTGTTTTCCTATATTCTAATAACGAACCCTCAGGCGATCTCACTCAATCGCCTCCATCTCCACCATCAACTCCACCATCAACCCCACCTCCATCTTCACCTCCATCTTCACCTTCACCTTCACCTCCACCTTCAACCCCACCTCCATCTTCACCTCCATCTTCACCTCTACCTTCACCTCCACCTTCAACCCCACCTCCATCTTCACCTCCATCTTCACCTTCACCTCCACCTTCAACCCCACCACCATCTTCACCTCCATCTTCACCTCCACCTTCAACCCCGCCTCCACCTTCACCTCCACCTTCAACCCCACCTCCATTTTCACCTCCACCTTCAACCCCGCCTCCACCTTCACCTCCACCTTCAACCCCGCCTCCACCTCCACCTTCACCTCCACCTTCAACCCCACCTCCATTTTCACCTCCACCTTCAACCCCACCTGCATCTTCACCTCCACCTCCATCTCCACCTTCAACCCCACCTCTATCTTCACCCCCATCTTCACCTCCACCTTCACCTCCACCTTCAACCCTGCCTCCACCTTCAATCCCACCTCCATTTTCACCTCCACCTTCAACCCCACCTCCATCTTCACCTCCACCTCGACATTCACCTTCACTTTCACCTTCACCTCCACCTCCACCTTCACCTCCACCTCCACCTCCACCGATCCCAAAACCCAGCCTCTTCCATCAGATACCTGCCATTCTCTGCCTTCCCGAATCCAATTTACAGACATTTTCCTCGCCATCCCCCACTCTCCTTCCCTCTATCTCTTCCCCCCCTCCGCCCGCACCGTCGCTTATCGGCTAGCAAACAAACTGCAGCGCCTGATTAGCACAGGTACGGTGGGGGCAGAAGGACAAAAAGACGAGGATGTTGCGAGCTCTGGTATTTGCGCCGAGAGAGCGAGAGATGTGCGTCTGAGATAAAAAACAAAGGGGAGAGGGGACATCCTTGTCTTGTTCCTCACAAATGGAACTGAGTGATTGTAAAGGCCACGGTGTTGGTTTGACATTTAAAAGATTTACACAAAGGAAACAGGACGAAGAGGTGGATTTGGGACGTTTGAAGAAGAAAAGAGAGAAAAGTAGGGATTATATTGGGGAGTAAAAAAAGTGTGTTTGGTTTGACCCATTGTATAATACCCTTATTTTTGAGGGAATGAAATCTCTTTAAAATCAAATATGAACCTTTTTAATGCAGTTAATTGTTTATTTTACAACAAAACTACATTGTTGCTGAATCGACAACTTTTTATAGACCTTCAAGACCGCTGCTGTTGTGAGAGAGAGCAGAAAGAGAGAACAGAGAGAGAGACCAAGGAGGGAGACCAGAGAGAGAGAAGAGAGAGAGACCAGAGAGACAAGAGAAAGGGCAGAGAAAGAGATGGGAGAGAACAGTGAGAGACCAGGGAGAGAGAGAGAGTAGAGAGGGACCAGAGAGAGAGACCAATGAGGCAGACCAGAGAGAGCAGAGAGAGAGAGCAGAGAGAGAGCAGAGAGGGAACAGAGAGAGAGAGTGAGAAGAGAGAGCAGATGGAGAGGTCAGAGAGAGACGAGGGAGAGAGAAAGCAGAGAGGGAGAGAGAACAGAGAGAAAGAGCGAGCAGAGAGGGAGAGAGAGCCAGATAGCAGAGAGGTAAAGACCAGAGTGAGTATGTGTATATGGTGAAATGTATTCAGTACACTGGTGTTTTATTATTGCCTGGTCACTCTATGCGTACCCTACTGTATATATTCAAATTCTCTCCAGTTTTTCAGTTTTTCTATTTTTTCTAGATACAATGTGTGAATACAATGTGTGTATATATATATATATATATATATATATATATATATACACACATTGTATTCTGTCTGACTGCTATCTTTGAATGTCTCCACTTTGTGGTTCATGTGTTTTTTGTGCATTGCTCTGTGGGTGTGGTGACTGTACACCCTTGGATGCCTGCCCCACCCTATTTAAGAGGACTTCCTGGTGCAATTTAAAAAAAATATTTTTGATTTTCAAGTTAGACGGTGTGCGGGAATCTTCTCTCTGACATTAGGCTATACAAGCCTCTCCTCCTACGCACCCGATCTGTAGGTATTGATGTGCGAATCCCTACTCCAGTCAAAGACCAGAGTGAGACCAGAAAAAGACTGAAGGGAGACCAGCGAAACCAAAGAGAGAGAGGAGAGAGCGAGACCAGAAAAAGGCCAGAGATAGACTAGAGAGACAAAAGAGAGAAAAGAGAGAGACCAGAGAGAGACCAAAGAAGTCAAATCCGTTGGTTGTATGGGTCTGAGCGCTGCTGCAGCTGTCAAAAGCCGTGCAGGCTCTGTAACAGCCACAGATAAAGGGTGAAGAGTGTTCTAAACGTGACATTTGACGGTCATCTATAATTTAGCCGCCATGATGGTCTTTCCACACATCCTCTATGTCAAACCCTCGCTGATCCGGCGAGCTCTCTCCTCCTCGGTCTTACAGGTGAACAAATTACAATACAAATAATAACTGACAAAATTCTAGTTTAAAGTCCAGGCAGAACCATGTGTTGTTTTGAAAAGGACATTTCTGTAGTGACTTGCGTCACTTTTAATTGTTCGCTTCCATTTTGTCTAAAAAAATGAGGCTTTTTAGGCTTCCCCTTTGATGGACTTCAGTTTTAATAGCCTGGAGATGATTAAACTTCAAAGTCAAAGCCAAAATTGGAAGCTCAGTGAAATGACAAAGGTTTTAGGGTTTTTGTGCATGTGCAAAATCGCAGATGTGTTGCTCTTTCATCCAGAACAAAGCATTATGGGCAGTTTTAGTGTTTATAGCCGACTGTGTGTTTGCCAATTCATCACAATGGGCCAAAACTTTTCCTCTAATTACTGGAAACGCCTTATCGTCTCTCTCTCTCTGTGGCATGGACTGTGTGTTCAGAGGGGACTGACCGAGTGTGACATCACCACAGTGTTAGCCGTATTAGTAGGAAGCCCATATGAAAATAAGCCAGCCGGAGCCACTTTCCTTATATGGTCATTTGTTCCCACGCCGTTAGCTTAGCACACAGCAACGGGGCAGATGTGGTGATAAGACGATTGCTAAAGATGGTTGCTAGAATGGTTGCTTAGATAGTTGCTAAAATAGTTACTAAGATGGTTGCCAAAGATGTTTGCTAAGACGATTGCTAAAATAGTTGCTAAGTAAGTTGCTAACATAGTTGCTAAGATGATTGCTAAAGATGGTTGCTAAAATTGTTGCTAATATGGTTGCTAAGACTGTTGCTAAGATGGTTGCTAAGATGATTGCTAATGTGATTGCTAAGGTGGTTGCCAAGATGGTGGCCAAGATGTTTGCCAAGATGGTTGCCAAGACGGTTGCCAAGATGGTTGCCAAGATGGTTGCCAAGATACAGTAGTTGCTATAATATTTGCTAAATTGGTGGCTAAATACGGTTGCTAAGACGATTGCTAAAATGGTTGCTAAGATTGTTGCTAAGATGGTGGCTAAGGAAAGCGAGAGTTTTAAGGCATCTGATTGGTCGATTCTTACGGCTCATATCAGGAGAGAGAATATGAGTAAAATAAGATCTATAATTTTAGCATAATAAAGAAGCAAGTCTCTAGCTTTAGCATCATAAATAAGCCGACATAAAATACAGTATATTCTTGAGCAAGAAATACGAACAGTTTTGTCTCTGTGTGCACCATATGGCACTAACCCCAGAGCTAAAGACTCATTTTGTTTCCCCAATATTGCCTTCTGTTTCCAATAAAAACCAAAAATCTCTCCGAAACCCACCGAAAAACAAGAACCTCTCCCAATCCCCAACTTTTCCGCTCCATTCGGGTCCACTGCCTCCCTCTCGCTGCTCTCCTCGCTGCTTTGATCGTCTTCCAGCTCCTCTCCATCCTCCCGAGCGCTTGTAGAGTTTGATATGGAAATCCTGATAGCGGCTAATAAACAGTGAAGTATCTCGGCTTCTCGTTGCCAGATCCTCCATCTTTTTTATCCTCCTCTTCCATCTGTGTGCGGCCAATCAACGCCACCACGAGTCCGTAATCAAACCCGCTCCTCGGCTCCGGCGTGGTTGGCGTTGGCTGACCTACATCGACGAGAGAGAGAGAGAGGAGGGGAAAAACTGCCGACTTCAGCAGAAACGAGACGCCGAGGGTCTTTTGTCTTCGGGATGAGCACTTGTCAAACGGTTTAGGCGCGATACGGGCTTGAAATGAGTCCAGGGGTAAATGTTATGCATGTGGAATGATTGAACTGATCTGAAAGGAGGAGGGAAGAGGGAAGAGGGAGGACTGGAGCAGGTGTGGAAGAGGCTGGAGGAGGATAGACAAATACACAATTATTAAGGGTTTTTAGGAGGATTTTCCCACATTTTAGGAAAGAACCGCCCTCTTCACTTTTTGAACAAAACTCTCTTGTCTTTTTTGACGAGCATGCATCACCCGAATGATTGACAGTTGGGAGGACCAGTCTTGACGGTCCCCACGGAATTAGAAAATCCACCTTTATACAGTATCTTTAAGGAATCACTCCACAACAGAGATGTCAGACTAATTAGGTTGTGGGCCAAATTTAAAAACAAAATGTAGAAAAGTAGAAACATAAATTTAAAAAAGTGGTTTTCTTTTATCATTATCACTTTGTTCTCACATTGTTATGTATTTCAACAAATTGATATTATCTAACATGAGTTTTGATATTTTTCTCTAGTTTGGATTCAATCACACTTGAAATAAATATCAATAAAGATTCATAATTAAACATTTATTAAAAAAAATCTTGGGCCTAACTTAAGTTTGAACTACATGTTAGTTCACATTTCACAACAGATTCAATTATGTGGTTGTTTTCCGGAGAGAAAAAGGTTAAAAATGAAGTATAACATGCCATAGTACCTCTCTACCATCAATGCTGCGAATTACGGTAAAAATGATAATTGAAAATCATTTCAGGGGCCACTAAAATTTGGTCTGCCTTGATCTGCCTTTTTAATGATTATTTGCAGAATTGGTATTTAACCCGTTAACAAGCCTTAAATTAATTTGATCAGGAAAATACATTTAATTTCAATTAGGGCTGTCAAGCGATTAATTTTTTTTTGTTGATTAATCGCATAGTAATGGTGAGTTAACTCACGATTAATCACATTTTTAACATTCTATTTCAAATCCACTCCAATTGAAGTTAAATGAGATTTTCAAATGTAATGACACATTGTTATTCATACCAAATGTACTTAAATCTGTTTGACTTGCTCACAACCTTCTACTTTTGGGTACAACCAACAAGAGCTGTTAATGAAAGGGAAAATGTAGGTACCCCAGCTTTAATTTTGCGAGTTTGGTTGCATTTCAGCGTGTCTCCTCCTCTCCTCCGTGTGTCACACAACATCAGAGAATGGCCCCTGTGCGTGTATATATATATGCGTGTATTATATGACCACGTTACCGCTGTCACCATCACACACACACGTGTCCGTGGCATTCTGAGTGATATTATTATAAATGGGCGGGTCATTCATGTGATTGACTGCCAGCCTATTTCAGAACAGGTACTCCCATATTGCCAGCCGTTTCTGATGATTTTACTGAATTTGCAAGACCCACAGAATATTGTGTACTATGACTATCTGAAATCCAAAACCAGATTCTGAAAGAATGGACTGTCTACTTTCATCAGCAAAAAGAATTTTGTTTGTTGTTTGTTTGTTGTTTGTTGTTTGTTCCCAAAATTTCATTTCCACATTGACACACTATTGTTAAGAATGAGTACAGTATGTATTTTCTCTTATGGTATTTTTTGTTTTACAGTAGAATTCCCAGAGCAGTCAATTTGACGGTTTTTGGTTTTGGAAGAGTAATGAGCTCAAGTTCATGTTTGGTCTTCATAACTTTATTTTATTTCTATATTATTATATGCATTTAATTTTCTTTTAGTTCAACCTTTAGCTGTATATATGATGTACTGTATGTATGTATGTATGTAATATGTATGTAATATGAGGTATGGACAAATATATAAATAAATAAAATAAATAAAACTAATAAACTCCACCAGCAACAAACATTCTATGGCAGTTAAAGGGGTTTTTTTTCTCCAAGAAGCTGGTCCTGGTTCTGGTTCTGGTGTTGGTTTTGGGCTGGACCAGGGCAGAGCTAGTGCTGGTTACCATAGCTACAGTACATACTGTTTACTTACAGCAGTTAGCATTTGGTCTTTAGCATTAGCCTTTCACCCGCTGTCTTTGCTGTGTTTCAGGTTATTTTCCGTTTTAGCTCATATTAAAAATGAGAAAATTTTAAAAAAGTTATACTGACTTAAAGTTGCATCTTCTTTTTTTGCGCACAACCTTGAAAATCTACTTCTTCTCTTGATCATCTCTCGGTTCAGACATTTCTCTGAATCATGGTTGACATTTTTTACACGTCAAGCTAACGTTAAGCTAACATCAAGCTAACGTATGACATCTGTACAGTGACATATGCTCCCCTGTCTCTGGCCACTCTCTCCCCCTTACCCTCTCCTGTCTCTCCCCCCGTCTCTCCCTCTCCCTCTGTTTTCCCCATGCCTCTACCCCTGTCTCTCCCCCCGTCTCTCCCTCTCCCTCTGTATATCTCCCTGCCTCTCCTCCTGTCTCTCCCCCTGTCTCTCCCCCTGTCTCTCCCCCTGTCTCTCCCCCTGTCTCTCCCCCTGTCTCTCCCCCTGTCTCTCCCCCTGTCTCTCCTCCTGTCTCTCCCTCTGACTCTCCCCCTGCCTCTCCTCCTGTCTCTCCCCCTGTCTCTCCTCCTGTCTCTCCCTCTGACTCTCCCCCTGTCTCTCCTCCTGTCTCTCCCTCTGACTCTCCCCCTGCCTCTCATCCTGTCTCTCCCCCTGTCTCTCCTCCTGTCTCTCCCTCTGACTCTCCCCCTGTCTCTCCTCCTGTCTCTCCCTCTGACTCTCCCCCTGCCTCTCATCCTGTCTCTCCCCCTGTCTCTCCTCCTGTCTCTCCCTCTGACTCTCCCCCTGTCTCTCCTCCTGTCTCTCCCTCTGACTCTCCCCCTGTCTCTCCTCCTGTCTCTCCCTCTGACTCTCCCCCTGTCTCCCCCCTCTCTCTCTGCCTCCCCCCCCCTGCCTCTCCCCTTGTCTCTCCCTCTTTCTCTCCCTCTTGCCTCTCCCTCTTGCCTCTCCCCCTGTCCCTGTCTCTCCCTCTGCCTCTCTCCCCTCTCTCTCCTCCTGTCTCTCCCTCTGCCTCTCCCCCCTCTCTCTCCTCCCGTCCCTCCCTCTGCCTCTCCTCCTTTCTCCCCCTGTCTCCCTCTGCCTCCCCTCATGTCCCTCCACCCATCTCTCCTTCAGCCTCTCTTCAGTCTTTCCCTCTGTCCCTCCCCCTGTCTCCCCCCCGTCTCCCCTGCCTCTCCATGGTCTCATTGGCCAACACTGAGACGGCATCAAGCTAACGTATAGCATGTGTTGTGACTTATACTTTTACAGTATGTCTCTCACCCCCTGCCTCCCCTCCTCTCTCACCCCCTGCCTCCCCTCCTCTCTCACCCCCTGCCTCTCCTCCTCTCTCACCCCCTGCCTCTCCCCCTCTCTCACCCCCTGCCTCTCCCCCTCTCTCACCCCCTGCCTCTCCTCCTCTCTCACCCCCTGCCTCCCCTCCTCTCTCACCCCCTGCCTCTCCCCCTCTCTCACCCCCTGCCTCTCCTCCTCTCTCACCCCCTGCCTCCCCTCCTCTCTCACCCCCTGCCTCTCCCCCTCTCTCACCCCCTGCCTCTCCCCCTCTCTCACCCCCTGCCTCTCCCCCTCTCTCACCCCCTGCCTCCCCTCCTCTCTCTCCCCCTGCCTCTCCTCCTCTCTCACCCCCTGCCTCCCCTCCTCTCTCTCCCCCTGCCTCTCCCCCTCTCTCACCCCCTGCCTCCCCTCCTCTCTCACCCCCTGCCTCCCCTCCTCTCTCTCCCCCTGCCCCTGGATGGATGACTTTGAGCTTAAGGACAGCATTTATTACCGTCGCGTCTAAGTATGATGAACGAGTGATGAATTTATTGGCGAGAGAGAGACGAGAGCGAGAGAGAGAGAGATCAGAGAAAGAGACCTGAGGAAGAGAGCAGAGAGAGACCAGAGAGAGAGACCAGGGAGTGAGACCAGGGACTGAGACCAGAGGGAGAGAGACCAGAATGTGTCCAGAGAAAGAGACCAGAGGAAGAGAGCGAGCAGAGAGAGCAGGGAGAGAGAGTAGAGTGAGAGACCAGCATGAGAGACCAAAGAGAGGAACCAGAGAGACTAGAAAGAAACCAGAGAGAGAGACAAGAAAGAGACTAGAACGAGACCAGAGAGAGAGACCACAGGAAGAGAGAGACCAAAGGGAGAGACAAGACAGAGACCAGAGTCAGGCCCAGAAAGAGAAACAACAGGGAGAGAGAGAGTAAAGGGAGACCAGTGAGAGAGACCAGAGAGAGACCAGAGAGAGACTAGAGAGAGACTAGAGAGAGACTAGAGAGAGACTAGAGAGAGACCAGAGAGAGACTAGAGAGAGACTAGAGAGAGACCAGAGAGAGACTAGAGAGAGACTAGAGAGAGACTAGAGAGAGACTAGAGAGAGACTAGAGAGAGACTAGAAAGAGACTAGAGAGAGACTAGAGAGACCAGAGAGAGACCAGAGAGAGACTAGAGAGAGACCAGAGAGAGACTAGAGAGAGACTAGAGAGAGACTAGAGAGAGACTAGAGAGAGACTAGAGAGAGACTAGAGAGAGACTAGAGAGAGACCAGAGATAGAGCAGAGATAGACCAGAGAGAGAGACCAGAGGGAGACCAAAGAGAGAGACCATAATCATAAACGCAGCACTTAGAAGACAGTGAAACCTAAAAGCTCACTCACACTTTCACTTCATTTCACATTCGTTCCAGAGTCTGTTTCCTAAATGTGAGTTTGGAGCGAGGCCACTTCTCCGAATTTTAGCATCAAATTTTCATCAACTTGAGAAACTTTTGCTTAACTCTCTCTCCTCGGAGCTAAGTGCAGATCGGATACTTTCAGCGTGTGTGTCTGTGGATTTTAGCGTGTGTGTCTGTGGATTTCAGCGTGTGTGTCTGTGGATTTTAGCGTGTGTGTCTGTGGATTTCAGCGTGTGTGTCTGTGGATTTCAGCGTGTGTGTCTGTGGATTTTAGCGTGTGTGTCTGTGGATTTTAGCGTGTGT